CCGTTGTCTGCTTTAGTGGTCTCGAAGACAGCGAAGAGCAAGGGTGCTGTGCGTCGTGAAATCTGGCCTTGTAGGAGTCATTCGTTGTTTTACATTCCCAGGCTAATGAAGAACTTATGATAATTTTGTATTTATATGCATATAGGTGGAAGCCACCAACAAACATACAGGGCATAATTGATTAACCGGTTCAAAATGTTATCCTTTTTCACGAACTAGCTTGTGCAGTATACTGTTCATCATGCACTTTTTGGGATAAATAGGAAAATCAATTCTTGTTTCGTATCTAGTACTGCTGTCCGCGTTTTGGTAGTACTAAGACGGTCAGCTGACGGGACAAAAGTAATTGAGGTAGCAAATATTCTTATGAGGCTACTAGGCGATCTGTCCCTTGTTATGTTGACTAAACCTGAAAAAGAAGGATTGGGAGGTCACGAATATTAATCAGCCTACTAAATTTCAAAAAAAGCACGGTAAAACGCTTTTCGTCTTACCTTCTTCTCTGTTAATCGAGGGATGACTTAGGGGTTTTTCTTAATTTCTTCATTTGTTTTTGTTTTTAGCACATGATCAAATATCGATATATCCCGCTCACCTATGGCAAGCCGAGGCACAGTGGAAGGGCGGCATTTCAAAGCAAGTAGCGTTCCGCTGTTAATGTTGCGCTCCTGATACTCGTTTGGTATGCATGCACCGCCGGTGAATGTTGCTGCTACCGCCACTGCTTTTATCATCATGATACTGATTCAAATTGATGAGATTTTCTTCAGGTTGCAGAGTTCGAGTTTTTGCCCGGTATTCTAAATTGTCATCTACTTATCTACTTAACTAAACATAATTAAAATATTCATTTTTGTGTTGTTTTTCTAACCAGGGATTATGCTTTGTTTGATGATTTGCTTGGTGAAAGCATTTTTATGGGGAGGGGGAAGGTAGTGGTGATATTGGTCTTTTATGCTAATCGGTGACACTGGGTTGTCATTGAATTTTTTATCCGCATCGGTGAGTTTCTGGTTTCTACCAGACACTAAGAAGCGTTTTTTATAGGTTTCTGCATTTTTGCATCAAGTGTCGTCCCATCTGCAGTTTCTAGTGTTGAACAGTAAAGAAATTAAAACACTTCGAGGGACCTGAACAAAATCCTCACCTTTCAAAAGCATAAAATACAGAACGTAACTAGTAGTTTGAACAAAAGCATGAGACGACGTTACACCCATTCACTTTAAAGTCTGCTATTCCTTTGGTCGTGATGAAGCTGCTTCAGGAGGAGGTCATGGTCTTTCGTCAGGTAGGTAAGCTCTGTGATCTTAATTGCAAGGCATGATAATGTTAGGTGTTCTATATCGTCGAACCTGCAAGCCATCTGGCCTGTGGTGTGTCCTTTGACTGACTTCCGTGCGGCTTTTTCAAGAGATTTCTTACGAATCTCTTCTGTCATATTCTTATCACATAACCGAAACCGCTTCAGTTTTGATCTTTCGACCTGCAGAAAGAATTGCTCACAGTGTAAACCGCAGCGTAAAAGCTGCAATTGACACTGCCAAAAATTCCCTAGCACAAGTTTTTGTAGTGGTTAGCACACTGGGCCATCACGAGCAAAATGGGCGGATGGTGACATTTGATCCAGTTGAAAAAAAATCGATTTTGTTCTTTAATATTCATGATGAGTGATGAGCGAGTGAACTATTTAATAAAATGTGAATATGATGGTGAAAATGGAACGTTTTCATAAATTTTTACCGTGATCAATTGGCCTAAATGAGGTTGCAGATAGCCAATTACCACAGGAAAAAGGAAGGAAGAAAAATATTTGTATTCGTAGGCATGTCGGCCTTCGTTTCAGTTTCATAATGAGGCCCTTATGGCGCTCCTATTTTCATGAATTTGATGTTTGTTAGGTGCTGATCTCCGTTTCCAATATCAAGTCAAGAGTGCCAAATTTTATATGTAGAGTCGATAGCAGCTGTGACAAGTATAGTGCGTAGTTTGCTGTTTCGTTCCCACCGATTATTACCCGTTTATCGATCTTGGAGGGAAGAAAGGTGACTGGCCCTGTCCGGGTTTCGTACCTGGGACCTTTCGTTTTTACGTTTGACGCTGTACCGATCGAGCAACCCCGATATTAAGCGACGTGTAGTGAGTTGCTTCACCAAGGGAATTTGTGATTAAAATAAAGGTTGCCCTCCCTGGAACCTCTTGGTTCGAATTCAACCTCTTAAGCACTGTGTCGCAACGCTACTCGTGCGCTTATGCTGGCAGCTATTTGGGGTGAATGACTCTTGCTTGAGCTTATGTTCAGTAGTATCGTATTATCATAAGTGCACTTATTTTCTTAGATGTTCTTCGACATAGTAAGGTGCTTCATAACCATTGTGACATTGCGCGAATCTTTCACTGTCAATGCTATTTCATAGCCATAGCAGAGACGTACAGTTTTTTAGGTGTTTGCTATACGCGTTAGTCTCATATGTCGTGGTTTTTCTGTTAGCGTAACTCCTTATGCACCATCTAAAATCTTCCAGTTGTTTGTAGAATAATGTTCCTGTGTCGTCCCGTAGCAGATTTTCTCGCGTTGAATTACATTCGCGTAGTAGAATATTCTCCTGTTTCATGGTTCAGAAATCTTGTATGCATATTTTAGTAATTACTCATTTGCATATTATTTGCATAGTTACTTGTTTTCGAAAACAGCGACCGAAGCATGTGCGGCCAAGCTATTTTGCTGAGATCAAATACTTTAAACACGGATGAAGGACGGAGCTTGGCTTGAAGTTAGATGTTTCATCAGGAGTCGCCCTTGAACGGTACTAGGAGAGTTGCGTAGATGAACTGCCTCTTCTAATTATACTAAGTTAATCTAGTTCGTTCGGTATCCTACTCCCTTCTCACTCCTATCTCCTTGATGCAGGCAGGAAGATTCGCTTAAATCACTGACATTATACTCCGCTAATCCGCTGTCGCTGATCAAGAACATATACGATCATAACATAATCAGTCGATTTCGGCGTATTTTGATCACTAGTCAGTCACCGCGTTGAAGCGTAGTGTGAAGCTCAGTGACTCAGCTTTTTCAAGCACTAGAGATTCATTTGAGGCATTTTGCTTCAGGCCAATTAACAGCTGTGGACAACGTTGTCGGTACAGTGGTCAAGATATGTGCAACGCTGCAATCGATACATCGCATTCCCCCACATAACAAATTGGCGAGCAGCTTTTCTCGACTGGAGAGAGTGAAAATTCGACTGCTTTTTTTGACTGCACTTTATCCGCCCTGATCGCTTCATCAGTTGACTTCAATAAGCATTGGTGATCTATTTTCACTGCTTCGGGGAGCACCGATCATCACAGGAATGACATCCGCTTTTACTCTCCAGATCTTTTGTATTTCTATTTTCAGTGCTTTATATTTTAATCTTTTCTCTCCCTTTAACAACTTTGCCGTAATTCGGCGTGCTGTAACACTGATTTGTCCCCATTTGGCAGCAATATAGTACTAACATTGTGTTTTATGTTATTGCTTGCGGAAATTCATCAACGGTTATTTATGTAGGCATTCAAGACTCGCAAAGTAAGGCTTGAATTTAAGGCAGGTAACGTAACGCGGGTGTCAGGAAGAAATGCCCTGCTGTAAATTGAGAAAGCCTACATCTCTGAATGGTTTTACAAACTATACGCCTAGGCCACATTAGACTGCGGCACTGAAGCTTGCAGGTTACTAAGAATTGATGTCCATATCGTTCGTTGTATGTTAGTTTGGATGTGAAAGGAAATATCTTTCGTTTTCTTTAGCTGCGTTTTCTATCCCACACTTTCCGGTTA